GGCGACTGCTGTATAAAGGACCTGCTGCGAACATTATTTCTCACTAAATTTTCGTCTTGTTCATCACACCAACCAAGCACTTCATACCATAATGCCACGCCACCGTGCCGTAGACGAAGACATCGTCAACGACATTCAGCCTCGCGTTCCCGATGACGAAGGCTACGACCCCAACCTCGCAGGTGCTGAAGAGCCAGGGTCGGATCCCTACAACATCGACGCAGTATGCGAGGACAAGGAAGCTACGCGTAGTGAAGAAACTCACACCATTACACGGAGTAAGTAGTCATATGCACAGGCTATGGTGAGCTGAATCTGGCTTACTTTTTTCTAGCCGAAATAGAATCGCTGAAGGATAATCTTACCGAAGGCGATGGAACACTCCCGTCGAAGACGAGGGGCGTTAAGGTCAATGCGTTTAAGCAGGAGGAAGAGTTGGACGACCGCCTTAAGAACGATGAAGTCTTGAGGTAAGGTTGCATTTGAGGAGTTCGAGGATGGTGTCGATTTATGTAGTGTCGTTGATTTGTATTGGTTTGTAATGAAATATTTGATGTTGGCTTGACGTTAAAACTTCTCTCCTAACAAAACTACTTTGAAAATGGGATCGAGTATAACCTTGTCTGTTCTGAGCCATGAAATCCCGTATTCGCGTTGCAATCGATCTATGCATCAATAAGAAATACGCTTCCATTTAGAACTGCATACCTTAAATGCGTAGTTCTGACATACAAACCATGGTCTACTAATGGGCGTTACGTGGGTGGATGTGGCTGTACGCCTAAGGGGTGCTCTGTGACAACTTCCAATTATTTAAGCTCCGCTCACCTTACCAATTGGCTCGCTCCCTTGTTCTCCTCTTTCTCTGTACGAACTCTCGCTTTTTATCTCTTCTTTAAACCCAATATTCCTGTCATTATATTGTCAATCTACCTATAGCGTGGTTTAAACAACTTAGTATGTTTCGGTGGCGAGCATTTCTCCGTTTGCCACGTTGAACTGATACGGAGCCTCCCAGTTCACTGCTGTCTTCCACGATGTCGTCCGCCTTTACAGCGCTGCTGAAGATGAGCCAGGAGCAAACAGAGAAGTCAGAAATGGATATCAGGGAAAGGGAGAGGAAACGTAAATTGGAAGACGAGAAAAAGCGGAAGGAAAAGGAGGCGAAAGAACGGAAGGAACGCGAGATCGCAGAAAAGCTGCGAATTAAGCGAATGCAGGAAATGGATAGGGAAAAGGAGCGGTTACGGAAGCGTGCTGAGGAGGAGGAATTAAGAAAGAAGGAGGCTGCGAAGAAGGAGGAGGAGGCTAGGCTTGAGCTGAGGTATGGACCGAAGAAGGCAGCAGGGTTGAGGTCGAAGGGTGGCAAGAACGACAGCGACGACGACGCGGGCGCAAATGCTCTTACACGCGAAGAGAAACGACAACTGAAGATTAACAAACTATTACGACAAGGAGGCTCTTCCAGTACAAGCACCCGTCGGTCCAATGGCACAGGCCACCGAACCACCTCACTTGCCGATGGACGCACCGTTCGAAGATTACCCGGGGGCGCTGTCGATATCACTGTCGTCTCTAGACTTGCCGATCCCGAAGCCGCTGCGAAATTAGATGCCAACGAGTCCGGGAAGAGCGCACGCCAACGTCTCTCCGCCATGCCCGCCGCACTTGTGAAACTCAACACTGTCAAACGCGATACCCGCTCGATCGATGATGTTTGGACGAAGCAGCCGAAGGTTCTTGCCGGAGATGAGGCGAAGAATTTCAGCGACTGGTTTGGAAAGAAGAAGAAAGAAGCTCCGGAGCCTTCCAAACCTAGTAACAATGGTGTTTCCCCATACGGCGGAGCGACTCCTGCGCGACAGCACTCGACGGGTCCATCCCGTCCTGTTTCTGCGACACCTTCTCCATCTCCAAGACCTTCGGTTGCGCCGCAACCTGCTCCGAGATCCAGACCTACCGCATCCGCTTCTCACTCAAAGGCTGGCTCGTCATTCATGAAATCCATTAATCCGAGGCACACTCCTTCTACTCCTTCAGCTAGACCTATGGCCTCATCATCTTCGAGGAAGCGTCCTGCATCTCCTTCTCCCAGCCCTCCGCCTAAACGCCGTGCTTTGGGATCTTCATCGTCACGCGCGGTGGGCGGTTATTCAGAAGAAATATCCAAGTCAATTTGGGAGGCTATGGGTGTTGATAAAAGCAAGTATATGAATAAGAATGTATACAGTGATGATGAGTCGGATATGGAGGCGGATGCTTCCGAAGTCTTGAAGGAGGAGATGAGAAGGTTTGTCACTCTTCTTTTTATAGTACTTCATTTTACTTATTTCTTCCTTAGTACGCGACTTGCTGCGAAGGAGGATGAGGAGGAATTCAGACGTATGCAAGAGCACGAGGAGATGAAGCGGCGTCGTAAGAAGGAGAAGGAGCGCATGGAGAAGGGTCGTATGCGATACTAGACTATATCTGCGTCTATTATGTTCGTTCATCTCCTAATTTGTTCTATCCGGTTTCCCTCATTTTCTGCTTAACTCATTTGGATTTGGATCCACATCATTTTCATTCTCGTGTTGTTTTTGTCCACTACTATCTCATTTAACACTTGTCTACTAATTTTGTTGCATATGTTGTGATTTTATATGTTTCCTTTTTTCCATAACTTCATAGTCGATACTCTCTGCAATCATCACATGTCATTGTCTATACTCATTCCATGAAAACATGCATTTGTATTCCATACATCATTCCACAGGCATCGCTGAGCACATATCGGCGAAATAGAATATTTTAGGTTATTACAGCCAGGCAGAAAGAAGCGGATATGGCGTTTGAAGACAGAAGTGGAAGTAATCCTAAGAGGAAAAGAAGCAGAGCATTTACACGAAGCGAATTGCAACAGCAACAACGATATAGCAAAGCAGTCCAATATTAAAGCTTGAGCATCGAGAGCAACCTTACACATTGTCGTCCGTCCTATGCCTCTTCCTCGGACCATCCCCAATCAGACTCGCATCGATTCCTCCACCAGCACCGAAGAACGCAGGGTTATAATGGCCTTGTCCTCCTCCAAAGCCTCCTCTGCCCATGCCCATGCCCATTCCTCCTCCCATGCCCATTCCTCCTATCATGCCCATGCCCATACCCATATTCGGCATTCCACCGCGGCCCATCATTCCGCCTCTTCCGCGCGGTTGGAATCCTCCCATTCCACCACGAGGGCTGAATCCCATTCCGCCCGCACCACCCATGCCTCCCATACCCATCCCGCCACCACCCATACCCATTCCAACATTAGGCATGATAGGCGACATCCCAGCCATTGGCATACCCATTCCAGACATGTTCATTCCGGGGGTTGGACCACCGCCTGACATGGCGCCGCCGCCGCGAGGCCCACCGCGTCCACGAACGGCAGAACCACCGCGAGGCATGTTGCCTCCTTGCATACCGCCGCGTTGTTCACGGGAAGGTGGGTCTGTGCAATTATAAATAAATGATAGAATGAAGTGAACAATGAATGACTGACCTTTGGGAAGTGTACGGAAGGGGTTGCCGTGTCCAGAGCCGGTGAATGTAACAGATGTACGACGACCTTGGAAGTCACTGCAAAGGATGACGTTAGAACATATTAATCGAAGAAACAGGGGGCATACTTGTTATCGAACCAGTTCTTGAGGGTGGCAGCGGCTTCTGGCGAGTGACATTCAACATATGCAATTCTGATCATACGCATAAGCAAACTGTTCGATACGACGAAATACCAATAGATATAAGAATAAGAAATACAAACCCTTTACTCTTCCCATTCACTTTATGCTCTGAGAACGTGATGTCGTTCAGATCAATATTCACACCAATTGCGAAGGCGGCTTGGCGAAGATCTTCGTCCGTGGTCCACTACAAAAGGCAAAACGTGCATAAAGACACAGAAAAAAGATACATCGGTGATTAGAATACATTGAGAGACGATACAGAGAAACAATGTTCGAACTAACCCATTGCAATTCACCAATGTAAACGGCATCCGAATCACGAGAAGGAGCAGCACCATTAAACATCGCAGGGGTCTGTTGCTGTTGAGGAGTTGGGATCGGGGCAGCATGGTTCGTGACAACGTTGTTCATGGCAGCCGGGGCAGAAGGAGGCTGCAAGCCACCGCGTGGCCCAGTGGGCGGAGTGGGTTGTGCAGAATGCTCGGCCTCGTGATCCTCTGAACGACGTCTTTTCTCTCCGATTTTTGGTTCGAATTTTTCTTGCTTTACTTGGTTGCCATCAGTGTGGTCTACGGTCGGGTGTTGTTCGTACTCCGAAGTCTGGGTGGTAGGGCTCAGTATGGAATAATAGGTGGCATCGAGAGGGGTAGTGCATACCTCATTTACAGTCCCAGAGCCGTATTCGTCGTCGCCGTAGATATCGAGGTCGTCTTCTCCGTAGCTCATTGTGGTTCGTCGAGCGCGTAGCAGCTCAGATCAAAAACTTGGTTGGGAGCTGGATATTCACGGGAGGACAGACAATGTGGCAATGGATGATGAGAATCGCATATAAAAGCATGGAAATACAGGAAGGATGGTCAGAAAATGCTCAGAAATTATAGATACATGCCCCGGAAAAGCGTTGGTACAGGGTGAGGAAGACTCTTACAGGTACAGGTAAACTTGTGAGTTTTATGATACAAATACAGTCGTTAATGTCCTGTCAGTGTCCCTACAGCAATATAGAGGGATAAATACAGGATCGGAAGCAGTTGAGGAGGGGAGATTCGGGGGAGGAGTTGATGGTTAGTGTCAGAAGGAAGGACGTGACACCCTGGTCTTAGCGCCCGCTGACGGATTTGTCAAATTTCCACACCTGGCTGTTCAATCCCATTCTCACGTTTTGTTCCCGTCGACCCCCATTTGTATTCAGGAATTGTTGTTCAAACCTGATGATCACACAAGATTTTCAGAACAATACAGTGGTCTATCACTGTATTGCTTTATTTAAGTTATACGTTAAGAGCTTCGCTGGCGCAGTTGGTAGCGCATTCGCTTCACATTCATGTTCGCGAGAGGTCGTCGGTTCGAGCCCGGCGTGGAGCAGTCTTTTGCTCGTTTGGGGGACTTGGGTAATTTTTTTTTTTTAGTTAGAACCTCCTTTATGTCTTGTGTCAGGAAACTGCCGTTCTGCAATATCCTCGGAAGCTCCATAGTCACGGGTGCGAGCTACTTTCTCCAACACCTCGTCACAACGTCCACCCGAGATTATCTGTCTCGTTGTACGTTTCATCCTAAATCGAGTGTTTTGAATATATAAATTTCACGAAGGCCAGAGGATTTGAATATCGACTAGCTAATGTTATGACTTCCAGTGGTACCGGTGTTAGCCAGTCTGTCTGTCTGATTATAATCGATACTCTCAGGAGCTTGTCCTATTTTCTGAACCTTTGGAAGGCTTTGGAAGGCTGTGATATTTGGTAGCCGCCATCTCTCAGTTGCTCGCTTGCTTTCAGGGTGCATATACGGCCCTACTATTACGAATTCTTCGGGTTCCAAGCTGACTGACGGCAACATTTAATATATGGTACAGATCTTCTTCAAATTACTTGCAACTGAATATCTAAAGCCCCGGTCAGACAGCTGTCACCGTACTACTTCAAGGGTACCTGTAACAAGTATCTTTATCGTATAGCATGTTTCCGTGTCGGATCGACAAAGGGTGAATATTGTTGTTTCGAGATATATCTTTTCAGAGATAAAATCGTACTTTTTCTAGCTCAAGTTCTCCATACAAGATCATGTGGTGATTACTACTTGCAGATTAGGTACGAGGGAAATATCCAAACTCCACGTGACAAATGGGTTTGCTGGCGCAGTTGGTAGCGCATTCGCTTCACACGCGAGAGGTCGTCGGTTCGAGCCCGGGGTGAACCACTTTTGCTTTTAGCCCGAAGGTCTCCCCCCTACGTTGTGAATTCTCATTTCAGTTCTTTCATATCAATTTTACACTCCTTACCAAGTTCATCCAAGATTTTCAAGTCTTGGAAATTGCTTGTAAGGCATTTCAATTCGACATTCCCATACCGACTTAGACAGACATCCGACAATCGAAAAGTGACGTACTTCTGAGAATTCTAGTAATTCTGGTCAATGACATGCCTACCGATTAGACCGATGATCCATGAGGCATTCTAGGCTCTATATGCCATGAGAACGTAGAGTGAAGCGAGGCACTACATGACCTCTGTTTCCATGAACGGTCTTCAAATGCCAGAAAACAATTTCAGATCTGTGAACTCAATAAGCAGGTGTCTTCATAATCATACTATATTGAGAGAAAATTGTTCTTCTTTTTGTAGTAATAAAAATCGGAAATTTATATTCACGTGCCGGAACAAGTATACAAGGCGCAACGGTGTTGTCTAAGACGGCGGAGACTGAAATCCCCAAATTGGGAATACACATCTGCAGGCCTCCTTTGCTCTTACCATCTCCTGGGTCCTCTGGAAACATGACCCTATATGTTTCTCTGGACCATAAAGACGAGTTTCCTGGCTCCCCTCCATTTCTTTTACGCTCTGGCTCCGGTGATTCTGACCTCACCACCGTCATACAAGCTATCGTGAAGGCAAAGCGAATCGCTGTAGTTTGTGGCGCAGGTATCTCTGTTGAGGCGGGTATACCAGACTTCAGGTGAGAATAGGAATATTATGAAAGTTGTAATGTGACTAAATATCGCATTTAGGTCTGCGGATGGCCTGTTTCAATCATTGAAGCGTGACAACCCAAAGGAGTCTCTCTCCTCGGGAAAGGACCTTTTTGATGCGTCTGTGTTCAAGGTACGTATTATGAAGCTCCTTTTTTCGGTATCATATATCTGATATTTAATGTGTAGTCTACACAGAAAACAGCTCTCTTTTGCCAGATGATAGCAAGTCTCGCCTCGTTGTCTTCACAAGGCCAGCCTACGACCTTCCATCGACTTCTTCGCTTACTAGACGATCGCAAACAACTATTACGAGTATACACTCAAAATATCGATGCATTAGAGATGAAGGCTGGCCTTTCATTTGGCGTTCCCGAATTCGAAGAGAAACAGCTTCGTGTCAAGCTGAAAGGAAAGGCGAAGGAAAAGGCCAAGCAGGCTGGTACGGGGGCTTATAGCGCGAAGTTGAATAAGAGACGTGGAAAGGCCACAGCGCAACCAGTTTCTTCAACCGACAACGCAGAGGACTATACAGTTGCAGGATCGTCTTCAATGCCCGACCAGCAATCTTCGCACTCGGCCTCGCCTCACCGGACGAAACTTAACGTCATACCGAGATGCATTCCTTTGCATGGAACATTATTAACATTACATTGTCCTCATTGCACCCAATCTTTCGACCTAGAACCTCCTCCTTCGAGCCCGACATCACCGCCGTTATCTCCTGGTGCATCTTCAAGTTCAACTTCGCTTCACGCCATGCTTGCAAACGGAACGCCACCCCCATGTCCATCTTGTGCATCCCTGGAACAAACTCGCGCCTTAGTCGGGAAGCGTCTTCGTGGCATAGGCAAACTTCGGCCTAGCGTTGTCCTATACGGAGAAGAACACCGGGAAGGCGAAGGAGTGGGGGAAGCGGTTCGCCGCGACCTATGTGGTATCACGGCTGGAAAGACATCCTCTTCGAATGATACCGACAGTGCGGGTACTGATCCAGCTTCGACTCCTACGAAATCGTCGAAGTCTTCAACCCGAGCTCGGGCCGGGAAAGGCCCAGACTTGTTATTGGTAGTTGGGACCAGCTTGCGCGTACCTGGTACGAAACGCATCGTACGCGAATTCTCAAAGGCCGTCAGAACTATCGACACTCCAAACCCGTCGAATCTCCCTACCCCTAGACCCACTCCTCCACTAAACAGCGAAGGCCAACCAGAGCACATTAGGACTATCTACCTTAACAACGAGTTTCCGTTACCATGTCGGGAATGGGAAGGTGTCTTTGATGTGTGGGTTAACGGGGATGTGCAGACGGTTGCTAGGGTAGTAGCGGAAGCGATACGGGAGGAAGATGAAAAGGTTGCGTTGAAGAAACAGAAACAGAAGGCAGCTGCGGATAATGGAGACGCGTCGGCGAGGGCGAAGAGCAAGTCTCCAAGCGCAAAATCCAAAGGCAAGCGAAAGGTGGATGATCCCCTAGATGCTGTTACGCCAAACAAACGGCAGAAGGTAGAAGTTGTGCTGCCACGGACGCCGGCCTCGGTGCCTAGGCCTTTGCATGAACATCCAGGGAATACAGAACTGAAGACACCTGAGATGGCTGTGGATACGCCAAAACCTCGTCGTGTCATACTTCGTCTTCCACCTCAACCTCCCTCTCCACCAACTCCAGTGACGCTGCCACGAAAACGGAAACGATCATTACCAGAAGTTATGATAACGCGTCAACCTATGGCATCTCTTTATGGATCCCTATCGCCGCTTACATCCCTTTCCTCCTTATCTGGCCGTGAAAGCTTTTCGCCAGCTCCATCTTCATCCTCCTCCACTTCTGCATCTCCACCTTATGAAGGTTCAAGTTGGGGTGATCATCCGCCGTATCATCATCAATCGAACTCTCGGAATGAATTTCACTTCGATCTTTCTGAGGATGAGGAGGAGGACGACTCGGATGAAGCAGCCCTGCGCGCAAAGACACCCAAATTATCCGATACACGGTCTTCCGCGTGGCAGCGATATGGATATTCGACCGGCGTAGATCATAATTTCGAAGTGGAGCGGAAGATCGGCGTTGCGCATTCTGTGACTTATTGACCACATCTAGACACTGCCTACAGTGAGGCTTTAATCATTGACTTTTTCGTTTATTTACTCGCTTTTGAAGACGTGTTGAATCTTTTATCTAATTACTCTACTGTATCATAGATATTTAACATTATTTTTCTGCGCTTGTGGTGTTTTTATTGGATTCGGTAAATAGATCCCGTAACAGTGAACACGTTTTAAGTACTACCTACGGTCCTCGACTTTTTGGTGCTTCACGGACCCAATGCAGAATGAGTATCGTTCGTACGCTGATTCCGCTGCTTCCACCATCGTTACCTTCCTAATCGACTATAACAGCGTTCCCAAACAGCCTATGTCATGTCGTCATATAAAGGAACAAAACTAGTAAAGCCGTGACGTATAATCAAAAATACGGTGTGTCGGTGTCATCGGATCCCCCTGCAATCTTTTGAGCTTCGGTCCGAGCTCTGGAGCCAAGCTAGGGATAGGTTCCGAGCGAGTAAGGGATTAAAAGGAATAAGGTTTCCTAAGAATAGTGAGAAATCTTTCAGCAAGGCGACCGGCGAAGACTCCAGTGCGGAATTCGCCGGGTCTCGTTAAAGACCGAGTTTGAGACCAAAGATGCCCGGGCTCAGCGGTGAGGGTTTGAACAGCTGCAGATCCTGGTTTTGGATAAGAATTTAGTTCCATATAGGATCTTTCAATGCGGGGGTGTCAGATATACATTGGTAATCACTGCAGGGGAAAAGAAATAAAACCCGCATCTAAAGGTAGGCAGGATAATAAGAATATGAGATTATAATAATAATAAAGAGTTTGAGACGGATATCATAATCAGACTTGAATTTAATAGCTTGAACAAGCTTAAACTTTTTTTTATGCTTGTCACTGTGTGTTTAGGTCGGTATATGCGTCCGATATGAGTGAAAGGGACTCAAAGGTAGAGTTCCGTGTTCTTATATCACTTCGCCTTTTTTAACTAAAGTTTTATTCCTGATTAATGCGTAGTAATATCAATCGATATACGATGACCCAAGTTCGCGAAGTTCTCCAGGCTACTCGGATCTCGTTAACAAATGTAGCTGTGCGTTGGAACCTTCTTGACGTCCCTATTAAGGAGGTTTAGTTTACATTTAAAATTATCATAAAAATCGCGCAACTCACCAAGTGCTTTTTAGGGCCTTTATTAATTAAAAGAGTCGCCCAAGGCGGAAGGCACAACTCTTGGTGACCGCACTGTATACGAGGATTCGACGAGTAGGTCTACGCTAGGAGTATTCAATGATTATACATCTAAATCAAGGTATGTACACGCATATCCTTCAACGCATTC